GCGAAAATCTTAACTTGGATTAACTCCAAAAATCTGCAGCTGTGCGCTGACTTGCAGAAAGTTTCATTAATATCCATGTAGTGCAGATAGGTATTACATATTTCTTTGCTCCACCTGATTTGAATAAATCTGTGACTAACGGGCTTCGGCTGAACATAAAAAGGTAATTCAACCATTGAATCATGCGTGTTGGAACAGTGAAACAGGTTACATGTGCAGGCTAGCGGTCCCAGGGAACCAGAATTGGGCACTCCTGACCTAGTGGTTCATGAAATATTTCTCTATCAGACAGAGTTGGTTGACACAAACAATTAAAAGCTAATCAAATTGACCTGGCCAGTGCAGGGACTATGGGTAGCAGATGTCAATCACAAGTTATTGATGAGGTGGAAAAGCTGCTTTTGGCCTGGATTAAAAAAAGAAAGGGATGGCTGGGAACATGGTCTCTGAGAAGCTGCACAACTCCACAATAATTTCACAAGGAGCAGCAGCAACAGGTGTTGCAGGATATTTCATTGTTGAAGTTGCAGGCACTCATGTCGAGTACAGTTAAAGGGGTGTGTGCATTGTGGGAAAACTTGCAAAGCTTCTGCTCATGTCATCACCCATAAAAACTACCTCAGACACAATAAATCTTTCAGTGAAAATGTTGGGGATCAATTTCATGGCACTTTGAAGAGCAGACAGAAGCAAATGTCAATGAAGCAACGTCTTGTTAAGCCTGGAGACCGTGATGCGAGTGCTGTCAGTACTGCTGAAATATACGAGGTTATGTCAAGCGGACTCGGTGGAAAACTCCCTAGAGGAAAGAGCATCCCACTTGATTTCCCAGAAGTCATAAATGAAGAGGGTTCTTCTTCAGAAGATCTTTTTTTTTTTGTCTCTGTTCCAGCTGCAATGCCTCTGAGAGGTTTGCGTCCTAAAGAAATGCTGTTTATTACCTTTATCATTGGTTGTTTCATTCATTTGTCATCATACCATGTTTCTGGAAATGAAATCTGGTAGGAACGATACCTTTATTATGCTGAAAATGACAGTTATAAGCAATGTTGTGCTCATTTTTTGAGTGGTTGAGGTAGACATGAAACAAATCCTTTTAAATTGATTTAATTGTGTTGGGAAAACTTGTTTCACACAGATCCTTAGTTTGAATGAATACAAATGGTTTAGTGTGCTGTGATGCAAACTGATAAACTGGTTGTGTTTTCTGTCACACGGTCCAATTAAAACAACCTCAGCGGTTTATGGTTTTCATTAGACCTGGGTAGAATTTGTTTAGATGAGAACATAATACACCTGTCCTGCTGTTCATGTCAGACAATACCAAGTCATCTGACTAAAGGTCGGTCTCACTGTTCACAGGCAAACCCTGCTGTTTCTACCAACTATTGCTCCCATTTTCCAAATACCAAATTGCCGTTGGGTCTCCATGACCACAGTGCAAACATGTAAAGCAGAACTCTTAATAAAACTTGTATTTAAACACAGCTGATAAATGCACAGAAGTCCTAATATGTTGGATATTTAAGTTACGTGAAAATTATGTAGTTTTTTTTTTTATTCAAGAAACTCAATGATGGAAGAGCGGCAAAAAACTATGAAAACAACGGACTAATACTGACCTTTTGTTCAGCTTTGGTAAAGATTTAAGTGTTTTGGCACAAGGCAAACTGGAATATATTTTTATACATTTATATTAAACTTTGATATTTTCTGAGCAGGTGTAATTTTTACTACGTTAAGCCACAATAACAAACTATATCTCTTGGAAAGGAATGCAAATGCAGTAGGTTGGGAAAAAGAGACAATAAAACAACAGTACTAAAGAGTAGGTCAAAGAGAAATCCTCTTCTTATGTATGGATTGTGAAAAATGAAAGGTCCTACTGGTACTGCAGCACAAACAATGCATCTTATTGACACAGCAACATGAATTGTCAGGCGAGATAAAATGTAAATACAGGTGCATCTCAAAAGAATTAGAATATTGTGAGAAAGTCTAATTTTCTGATACAATGAATATTGTTTTTCATTATTTGTAATACCCTAACCATCAAAATTACAAGAACTAAAAGCTTGAAATATTTCACATTATGTTTCATGAATCTATATAATACGAGTTTCACTTTATGAAAATGACAAAAAAATGTAACTTTTTCACGATAGATAGATATACCTAGAGACAGACAGACGGATATAATGTTTAGTGGTTAACAAAGCTCAGTTACTGAAGAAATAAGCGGTACGATGATATCCCCATCACTGAGAGGTTTGAATAGTGAATGTTTGTCGTTTTTGAGATGAGTGCATTTCTGGACATGAACTGAACAGAGAATTAAAGTGAATCAGTGTTTTTGCTGCTACATTTTCAAATGGATAAGAGTTACACTGTTTATAAGAAGAGAGGTAGTTTAATTTATTAGTTTTTTCTGATGAGAGGCAATGCAGAGTGATGGATCCTGGCAAGCAGAGGGAGCAATTTTATCCACCACCAGGCTCAGTGGCGGAGCCAGGGGGTGGCCAATGGTGGCCTTACCATCATAGATTAATCTTCGGCCACGCAGTTATTTGAGGAAACTACACTTTTAAGCGATCTAAAAACTAGAGCGCATGGTTTCCTCAAATGATGCGAGTCACTGGTTTACAGTGGAGGCCATTTTGGGTATTAACGTGTCAACACAATTTTTGATAATGATCTTTCCTACACCTAGACGCAGCTACATCAAAGTTGATACCTCCCTTATATTTCAAGCTGTCCTGCTCAACAGACACACAGGTGGGCTGACAAACAAACAGATGGAGATGATTTCCAATTCCCGTTTTTGCTCTGCAATGAAGAACAGCAAACTTACCCTCTACAAGCAGGTAAAATCCATTCTGGTTCTTCCTCAGGACCTTTATGGCTACATCTACCATTTCTGTCAAGGAGGGCTCGGAGTCAGTGTTCCTCTCCAGGTCATAACTCATGTCCGACGGTTCAAAAAGCCCTGGAATAACAGCATCAGCAGTGCATAGAGAAACAGCATACAACAGGAAATAATCACTGACAGACTTAGAAACGTTTCATTCACAATTAAATGACAGCTTTAAAGTGACGCTGAGGCCTACCTAGTAAATAATCCACATTGTTTGGGTTCAGAGAAAGCAGCTGCTTCTTGTTCCATACATAAAAACCTTTCTGGAGAGGAAAAAAAAGGCTTGTTACATCCAGGTCACGTTGAAATTGAAAATATTAAAAGTGTAATCAGGTTGATAAAAAGGAAGCAGGAAAGTAAAAGGAGAAAAACGAGGAAATAGAAAATGTACCTTATCTTTTGTCCTGTCTATCCACTCCTGCACCAGGTTTCGTCCATCTTTCCGTGTGCCGTTGTGTTTCGTTTGAGTAGGATATTCTATGTCTGGCATATTTTTAGGGGTCATAAATTTTCTTCCTCCACCCATAATAATCTGCAAAGACACAAAGTGGAAAACTTATTAAGAACTGCTGCTTCAAACAATAAAGGACATATTCAAACATGTCCTGTGAATGAAAGGAAAAGTGTCAGCTTTGTAAAAACTGACAAACCTTTCAAAAACTTTCTAATTTTAAAAAGCTAAAGCAGACATTTTATTTAGCTTTTTATTATCTAAAATAAAAATGGAATTTGTTCCGTCAGTTAATCAGTTTTTAATAATATAACTTGGTGGTGGTGTTGAAAACAAAACATTCACCATCAAAGTTTAGTTTGAGTGTTCAAAGTTTGGTCCCCCAAGTCATTTGGTTTGATTATCTTGCAAATCATCAGAATCATCCATCAGAAGTTTATAGAACAATTTCAGTCTGGATCACAACAATGAACATATAATTTCCAAAATCCCAATGATTATAAACCGCAGTGACACTGAGATGAAACAGTGAAGCATCATGTTGCATAGTAGGATAAAGAAAATCTTTAGATATTGTTTGAAAAGTTACAAAGACAAATCCATTCTCAAAGCACGACTCACATCAATGTTGGGAATATTTTCAATCAACTGTCTGGCGAGATCTTTGCATCCTTCCAGCAGGGCTTCAGCTGGCATGTCATTGTCAGAGTACCAGTCTCTGTTCACCGAGTGTGCGTAAGCAGCGCTTGGAGTTGCATGAGTGACCCGTGTTGTTGTCACGATTCCCACGGACTTTCCTGCAGTAAGTACACAAAAGCAGCTGTTGAATTAGAGTTAAAGTTTTGGTTTGAAGTACAGATGGGCAGTGGTTAGTTAACATTTTAACAAAACCTTATAACTTCTGTATTCAGAATTCATGCTAAATCAGATGCCCAAACTAAATAATAATGAAATAATCTGTTTGAAACGTTTCAGTCAGGGTTTAGAGCTCATCATAGCACAGAAACAGCACTAGTAAAAGTCACTAATGATATTCTCATGGCCTCAGACAATGGACTTGTGT